GCCACCAGGGCATCCATTGCAAAAGATGGAGGATCCTTTGAGACAAACATGCTCAGTTTGTTGTGGAACTTGGAGGCCAGTAGGTCCACGTCAGGTGACCCCTACCTGCAGCAGATGTCTTCTTCTAACGCCCCAGAGTGAAGAGAATATTCTCCAGGCTCCTGATGTTGATGACTGAAGAAGTCTGACCCCAAATAATTGTGGGTCAGGTGACCAATCAGACCTGCCAGACCATCGACAGTGAGGATTTCCCAAGTTTCAGCACTGGGTTGAAGATCCACCATGCCAAAACAAGCCTGTTCAGATCAAGAATAGGGCAAACCCCTCTTTGCTTTGGGGATAGTGAACAGGTTGGAGTAGAACCCCTGAAATGTTTCTGCCTCCAAAACAGAGACTATGACACTCTAAAAAAGGAGCTGCCCAAGGGCAGCAAAAAGATCTGTCTCTCTGAGATCTAGGTAGATAACAGCAGGTGGGGAAGAAGGGTGTGAAAATCCAGTTTGTAACCCTTATTTATGACACTCTAGACTAAAGATGCCCACACACCTTGCGATTATCGTACTATAATTGCAGGAAATCCCGCGATCGTACAATAATCGCAAAGGTGTGTGGAAGGCGTGCAACCGTTCCTACTGTACAGTAGAACAGTAGAAAGGCATCATGGCACACTCACAAACTAGCATGTAAAACAACTTGTCTCACCACTAAGGACAATGACAGAGGTTTGGATACACGTCTTCTGCAAAGGATGTGTAAGCCGCACTGCCGCGCCAAGGCACCTCTTATAGTGCGGTCCTAACTCTAAACTATGAGAGTCTCCATCTTGGAGCACATGGGGCAGAAGATATCAAATTGGGTGCAGGCTTGTCAGGAGGACGCCCCACCTCCTTAAAGGTACAGAAACACACAAGGGATCCCGCACATCCCATTGGCAGCTGAGAAACCCCATGCGTCGCTGCACCAAATCGGTAAAGCAAAACATCTTAACGACAAACGCACTCAATTTGTTACCAGTTATACAGTAAGGTGCACTGTACTGTACAGTCGCACGACTTTTGTCTTACGAACATGTTTGAAAACCAGCCGAGAATCGTACGATTTTCGGCTGGTTTGTAGCATGCTCGTAAGAGAATTGCCTCACGGGCCGGTGTGCGCAAGCGCACACTGCGCGTTCAGCATTGTGGTCATCGGAAGCCCGCCCCTCAGCGGGGCGGGCTTGCGATTATCGCAAGTACGATCTGCCTGTCCAAGATGGGCAGATCGTACCTTTTTTAATGAGCTTACAACCATCGCAAGACAAAAGTCTTGCGATGGTTGTAAGGTCTATGGGCACCTTAAGGCATTAGAAAATGTCTAGGATCCAGTAGGGCCAGGATTTATGATGAAACTGCAGGCCTAGCTTGGGCTTGGACACAGGAGGGAGCAGATGATTTTGCTGCTGAAGGCTTGATCTTATTCTATTGTAACAAGGTGCCCCCTGTTACTTCCTTGATAGAAGTATTCAAGGATTTGGGAACAGGTGTTTCCCAGTAAAGGGCAGGAAATCAAGATGCTTCTTGCAAAAAATCTCCAAAGACCAGAATTTAAGCCTTAGAATCTGTTGCATGTGGACTGTCAGGAGACCCATCTTTGTTTGAGTGTATATGCAGGCCATCGACACAGTAGTGCAAAGCCACAGGGAAGAGCCCTAGCTGTTTTAGAGTGTCGTAAAAGGGCCTGCAAGGGCAAATAAGGCCTTAAAGAGGGATTCTGTCCGCTTGAAAACAGGAACATCTTCTACAGCAGAGGTACTCAACCTGTGGGTCGCGTTCCAAAAGTGGGTCTCAAACCATTGTTGAGTGGGTCGCCGCGTCCATTTCTGCTGCGCTGGGTGAGAGCCTCCTCCTTGCGCAGCAGTGTCAGTCAGCGGGAGGACAGCAACGGCTGTGAATATAAAAGTGCTGCTGTACACACTCCCTGGCCGCTGCAGCGACATCGAGTGACCAGGGAGTTTTTACAGCAGGGCTCTTCTATTCACTGCCGTTGCTGTCCTCCTCCCTCCCATACAGTGCGGGCTCTGCAGCGGGCGGGCATCTTAGCAGTGCTGGGGCTGAGAAGGCTGCATGGAGACAGAGCAGGCAAGCAGGTAGCAGGGCTTGCATTCTTGCGAGTGTGCTTCTATTTTTATTTCTAAGTCCAGTGTGTTTCTATGTCCTGAGTCCAGTGCATTACTAAGTCCTGAATCCAGTCCGTTGCTAAGTCCCGAGTCCAGTGCTCTGTTGGGGGTCACCACAACTTGGCAAATGTTACCAAGGGGTCCCGACCCGCGAAAGGTTCTTACAGGGACTGGTAAGGTCTTGTTCAAACAGCTCCGAACTCTGGAAATAATTAGAAACTTAATTGAGTGACACTAGTCATTGCGCATCACTGGCTGTATAAGCACATGTACAGAGAACGTTTTGGCAAATTTGAGCATTTTTAAAAAGGAACCCAAACAAGTGACTTTCAACAAAGTTGACACAAGCGGCTCGAACTGTAATCAATCATGCAATCGCCTACACAAGGACAGAGTGTCTTTGAGCTTGGAAGATAATTAAGGAGCTAGGACCTCTTTATGGAATGAAACTACAGAACTGGAAGCAGCCTTCTCTGACCTTCAGAGCTGCAGTGGCCAAGCAGGAGCTGCAGCTATTTATAGGGGACATCCCATCTTTGCCATCGTAGTGGACATACTCCCATAGGGGGTCTTTAGGGACAGGGGCCTGTAGAATGTGCTCTGCTTTGGGTGTGCTTTAAATTACTCATGAACAACTGAATCTTAAATAAGTGTTGTGTTTATTTACAAATAGGGATATACACAAATTCTAATTACAATTAAGGGAAATAGAGAGGGGATTTGCCATGGGTTTTTCTGTGCTCAGAACACTCCTCTCCAGCAGGTATCAGCGAATCACATTCTTGATTGTAGAGTCGTCTTGTCCAGGAGGTCACCATTGTTCCCCTTGGTGAGTGAAGGTGCAGATGCAAACAAAACCATTTCCACTTACCTTGGGGCTACTGTCAGGTAAATCTGCTGGATTAAAAAGCAGACGTCTCTTTGGGGTCTGTTGTAGCAACTCTGTACATACTGGTTGTCAGCCAACTGCTTCCTTAATAAAAAAAAAAAAAAAAAAAAAAAAAAGGAAACCATCTGTGCAGCTCCATCCCACTCCCACCTTACCCCCCTTTGGTGTCTGTCAGCCCGAGACCTAAATCAGAGTGGAAGTGACATTGTGGGTGCCAAATGCACGTGCATCTGCACACTGAAGGGCGGAATTACATAATCATAGAGATCTAGCCCCTAGTTCTGCTTAGAATGGGGGGGCAGAAATTACAACAAACGTCTCTGAGCGCTGTAAAGTTGCTGCACTTCACAGGAAGGCTGCCGCGGTCCCTAAAAGGGTCCCGGCGACCTTCCTGTGAAGTGCGGTGCTTGTGTACAGCGCTGTATTGTTTTAGAAAAAAAGTCAACACTTGGTGGGGAAAAAAAAAACAAACAAAAAGTTATCGGTAATTAGTATCGGTGAGTACTTGAGAAAAAGCACCGGGGCTCGTACTCAGTCTGGAAAAAAATGTTATCGGCGCATCCCTAGTTTTTAACACATGAAGTGAGTTTTCATTTTACCACAAAAATGTGTAAAACAGACCCTAATGCTGCACAAAATCTTGGCAAATTTGTGGGAATTGAAAACATGATCACATGAAACTGAATTTGCCACCTATACATTCTAATGATTTACCTTTTTAGAGCAAGAAAAAGATCAACAACTGGAAATTAAACTGAGGCTGACAGACTGTCATGGATCATATCATTTTAAGAATAATTTTTTTTTAAAACAATCTTTTATATTGAACATAAATATTTGTATGCATGTATAGGTTTGCTTCTAAATTGTGTCCATAAAGACCCAGAACAGGGTGGAACCTAAATCTGCTGCAAACCCTGCTGAGTCCCAATCAGGCTGCCCTATATCTGACTTCAAGATTTTTATGAAATGTATGCTGAAGCAATATGAAAACAATCTCCGTTGTGGTGCATACATTTTGGATTTCTTTTGATTCTGGGTTTTTCTTATGTTTGCTTAATATGGGTTACTGCACATTACCCTGCCTTACTGAATAAGACCCAATGCGTATAGTAAAGAAAGGGATACATGTAAACATTTATTTAGCAACCAGTAATAATACGTTGGCATAAATAAGTCTGCAATAGTAGCAATAAGATGTTTATTAATTCAGTGCAGTCTCTGCTAAACAATTTGTGATTATCTCTTGTTGGTTAATGTTCTATGGGGAAAAATTGGCATGTATTTCCTCATGGCTCCTTGCTAATAAGGAAAACCAACTGTTGGTTAGTTACTTTGAGGTATGCTAAATAATGAAAAAGTAAAAAAAAATATAGTCAAACATTTTTCGTCCATAATAAAAAAAGCTAACTGATTATCAGTTAGAATCACTGAAGAAAATAAACATCCATGTGATAAACAGCAGAACAGCCACCACAGACAGGCTGCACATTGGGTTGAAAAACAACTGTGTAGAAAACAAGGTGTTGCTCAGAGCAACAAACGAGATTTTAGCTGTCGATTCCAACTTCAGGACATTAAAAAAAACAAAAACAAACCACCAGGTCCCTCATTGGTTGGAGTAATTTAAGGTTTGGTCCATCTCCATTGTTAAAACACAGATGCTTAGACAACCCAAGCACAGCAGAGAAGACCGGCTTCAAATACAAGCATTTAGAGCTATTTTGCACTCACTGTGGAATACGTGGCAGCAAGAGCTCAATAATAAAAAAACTCTATTGTACAGCATATAGGATCACAATATAGAGCGCTTATTACTGCCGTTTGCAGGTGGCTCTTACTTAGGACAATAATAAGGAACACTGATTAGTCGATTTAAGAATGTGGAAACTGGTACATAAAGAGTTAGGGTTCCAACATATTCCCAATGACCGATTATATTTGGTAGTGTCAAATTCACATCAATGCAATTCTCTTTAAGTCTATAGATTTTCCTCAGGTTTGATCCGCTTCTGATCCAAAATCTGCTGCTCAAACAGTTTTCTTTCTCTGGGCAAAACAAAAGTTGTAGAACATTAGAATTTAGTAATGATGCATATTTGTATAACACAATTATGTTTGTGGATGTTTTTGTTACCTTTTAGTGAGCAAAGGTCCCTTTAAATATTTCTTCTCTGCTTTTTCATAACTTAAGTTTTCTGTAGCAGATATAGCAAAAATTACAGCCTGCAGAAGAAAAACAAAAAAACAATGAAATATTCATGTAAATAAATTTAATCAGTGATGTATTTGCATAAGCTAACAGTTTATAGCTAAGGATTCAAATAATGCTGTCAATTTCTGTCTGTACTAAATGGCTAAAACAATGGAAAGTCTTTTGCACTATGTTAAAGTGTACCATTGTACAAATTATCTCACCTCCCCAAGTGCATCCATCTAAGAGTAACACTTACCATTCTCTCCTATGGCAAAGCCATACTTTAAACAACCATTGAAGGCTACCGCGAGTAAGGGTCTATAGGCATAAACGTTGCACAGTGCACATGAGCAGCATGAAGTGGCTGTTTTCCAGAGAAAGGCTGTGCAGACTCAAGCTGGGCCGCACTGTGAAAAATCGCTAGATTGGAGCTGAGGGCATTTGTCTTAGTGGGATGCACTCAAGTAGGCGGGGGGAGCAATTATTTAGGCTACTTACGTCCCCAATGGCATTTTGAACCGGTGCTGTGAGAGTGGCTATTTGTTCCAAAGTTTCAAAACGGCACTGGGAACCAGCGGTTCCTGGAAGGGGTGTAGGCTGAAACTGCACACTGATGGCCGCAATCCAGCACGAAGTTTAGGAGCAGAAACAATTAGTTCCTGGGCTTTTGATGTCTTTGCATAGGTGTTTATATCGGGTAAGTAGCGGCGGCACTTCCTGTCAGTATGCAGCCTTCGAAGAGCTGTTAAAGATCTGTCTAAGCTGTTAAAGACCTGACAGCAGTACATCACTGTGTTAAAGCGTCACATAAGGGAGCACAATGTCATTCATATTTTTAGTGATCATAAACATGTGAAATTTGCCATTGTGCTAACTTGTGCCCTTGTCAACTTATTGACTTACTGTTATGCTAACAATTGACTCCAACTGTTTTTCCCCCTGCATGTGTCATAAGGGGGATACAGCTTTCCTAAAGTAACAAGCATATGTTTACTTTTACCTTTACATTAAGTTACATAAAAGTTGCACTAATGTGATATCTAATTAGCAGACTTTTGATTATATTTTGGGGTAAATATGTGGGGATGGGCAAATTACATAAATGCTGTATTGGGAAAAATGAAAGGGAAAAGGAAATTTCTTTCAAACTATTAATTCCCAATAAAACAAGGAAATAACATATGCATCCAAATGCATTACCAAAATAAAGAGTTATCTGTTCTTAACATTTTTTATAACATAAGATAAACTATAAAAACTAAGAGTTAAAATGTGTGGAACAGACATCGCGGAAAAAAAAAACAAACCCCCCCCCCAAAAAAACGGTAAGATAAGAAAGTTCTCCTTCAGGTCCTCCTCTGCTGATTGACAGCAGGCGGGTACAAAAGCCAGCCTGCTATTGCAATTTAAAAATGTCCAATAGCAGGCTGGCTATGGTTTCCAGCTGTTGATGGGAGACTTGACGCCGGTGTTCCATCAGGGATTGATAGAACACTGGCAGAGGAGGAACGGGGCGGTGGGGGAATGCAGAAGTCATCGCAGTCTCTTCTCCCCGCTGGTGCCGGCTGCAGTGGTTTGTCCCCACTGCCTCTGCCAATACAGGCGAGGAGTGCAGTGGGGATTAAAAGGGACACAGATCGCTGCAGCCAGCACTAGCAGGGAGGAGGAGAGTGGCGGCAGCAGCAACTAATCGAAAATCAACTAATCGAGGAGAATCGTTGACTATTCTCATTATCGATTATAATCAATTTAAAATCGATTAGTTGTTGCAGCCCTACATATCAGCATGCAAAGCTGCAAGCTGAGGTGATTTTTAGTGAAAGGGGGTAAAGGCCCACTTTAAATTGCATGGAGAGGTTGGCATTAACATTACAGTGGTCATTCAGGCATTTGCTGTTGATTTCATACAGCTTTCCTGTAAGTTTATTTTCCATACGGATGAATGGTACTGCATGTAAAATGTATTATTCATTGTAAAGCAATTAGCATCACATAAACAGTGTTCTCCCTCTTATGTAAATGCAGCTGGCTGAAACGTTCAAATTTAGTTACTTACACTAGCCGATTTAAATTTTTATAAAATGTTATGCCTGAAGTTTGACTTTAAAATAAACTACAAATGGCATATTAAAACTACATGAAATGAAAATAGACCCTAAGGGGCTTCTTACAGTTTCAGGTGCAAGACACTTATGCTGACTGCCACCTATTAGTTTACACCAGGCCAGCTACATAACTTTAGACTAGTCATAGATGGGTAGATGGTTCATTAAATGTAGTGATTTTCATGTTCTTCATGGAGGAAATGGAACGTTCCTCAATTGGCTTCTAAAATCACCACTATAAAATTCTAGAACACTATAAAACAATGTAAAACCATGTAATGAAATTGAGACTTTACCTCTGGAAACATCACCTCAAGAATGAATTTAGTTTGATCGCCATTCATAAGCTTTTTCGACCGTCTGCTCATACTTTGACAAAGCGTCTGCAGATAGCCCGTCACTTGTTCAGCCTGTGTTTCATCTTCAATATAGGTCTCCAGACACTCCATTTCTTGGTTTAATGACTGGAACCTCTCTAACCAATGGGATTTTTTCTTTCCTGTAACGATGCTCATCAAGTGACGTTCTGCCTGCTTATTCCTCACGATGCACTCTACCAGTTTCTCATTTGCTTTGTCTCTGGCTGCCCGCGCCCGGTCTGGTAGAATTTTCTTTTCCACAGGGCAATCACTGTGTGTGATGTCTGGCACAGAGTCACGTATTTCTGGACATATTGAGGGGAAATTCAATTTTGTTTTACAATACTCCTTTCGTACTGGGTAGCCTGCAACAGAGTACAGTCATATTTTCAAAACTCATTGACACTTTTTAAGGCTTCATTTACTCAATGAGGAGAATTTATGAAAACTGGAGTGGACAAAATCTGGAGCAGTTGTACATGACAACCAATCAGTTTCTATCTTTCATTTTCAAATCTTAACTGAACAAACTGGAGAGAGAAGATGATTGGTTGCCATGTGCAACTGCTCCGGTTTTGATAAGTTCCCTCCATGGTGTTTATATCTAAAGGCAGATTCTTGCAGCAGGAATCACAGGAGTCTCTGGTCAGCTGTGGCCATATAGCCTGTAGAAAGCAACGACGGACTGTACAAAGCAACGACGGGCTGACAGCAGCTACACACCCGTGTTTGGAGCCAATCCCACATGCAGCAATTACTTGCGATTAGAGACAGATGCCGGCTGTTTGCGTCCAGGGGTAATCCTCTGTTTCCAACTGGAGGTAATCTCTCCATGTACAATTACCTCCGAACATGGGCGGACAGCTGCGACCCCTGTCAGCCTGTCATTGCTTTGTACAGGTTGAATGGCTGCAGCTCTCTGGAGCCACCTGTGATTTCTGCTGCATGAATCTACAGATTCTCCTCCTCATATGCCTAGGTCTTTCATGTATTATTTATATAAATCAGCACACTGGAAGCTACTTACTGATTGCGGAGGTGCAGTATTCAAAAAAAGAACCAGAAAATGAACAACCTGAAAATGAACCACAACCAAAGTGAGGAAAAAGCAGCATATTACAAAGTTATGGTAGTAACAGATAATATGGATAAAGAAACATAAGGAAACATTATATCTCAGTAACTTAGGATGGGCAAAGAAAAGTACAAGGTGTATTACATGGTCTGAATAGATGGGACAAAGAATCTCAGAGTCAGGATAAAAGAGAAAGCATCATAACAGAATCTACTGTAAATAGACATTTTTCTTTCTCCATCCAGACCATTGTATTTTGCACGACAAAAATACATTTGCACCCCGGATACATTTGGCACCCCGTTTACACTTTAAAATCATGTATGCAGAAAAGACTGCCACAATCATCTGGCCCTGTCACAAACCAGTGGAAACTGGTTTGTGATTCAGAAGCATTATCCATAATGACTGTAGTTGTTCCGAATATAAATTCTCTATTTAAACAGCTTCCAATAAGGAGACTGTCGCACACCACTGCCCCAGTGAGTTTATTTCTTACCGTTTGTGCAGCAATGAGGACATTTCCCTTTACCTACTGTCCCAGAGACGCTACAGAATGTTAGAGGAAATCTCCCAAAGTGAGGGACTTCCCCTTTTAGGCAAGGAAATGTAGTATAGTGCAGCTTACCAATTCTTAGATGCGGTGGCTGCATTCATTTTTTCTCCCTTTATTTTAACCCCATGATCCAGCCATGTCTGTTATTTTTAACTTCCTTTAACAGACCAAGCTGTCCAGCAAAAATGGCAGTAAGAGTTGAGAGAAACCCTTTAACACTATCAGGAGTGTCTACAATGATCATTTTTTTTTTTTTTTTTTAACTGGAGTAAGGTCTTTATTTTGTTAGTCAAGTCCATCTACTGTAAATCTGCTATTCCATCTAACATCACACTCTCCACAGGTTGACAATGCTTCTGTCCAAGGGTGGCTCCATTGCTCTTCCATAGACTGGAGCCGCCCTAGGCAGGAAGTGTGTTACTGGCTAGATAACTAGGTGAAAAAGAAACCAAAGACTGAAAAATGAAAACTACAGCAGCTACCACATTAAAAGGGATTAGTAATCTAAAGCTCTCACAAAGTGGCTAATAACTACCCTTAGCATGTAGAAGTGATTGGGCTCTAGAGCCGCCTGAATCATTTCTACAAGAACACTGGCAGTTGGGAAAGAAATCCTAAACTAACTGTAATGTAAACGGACTTGTATTTTCGTGGAGGACTTTTTGCTTCTTTCTGACTCCCCCACCACTACTTGACCAGTTAACCTGGCTCATTGAAACTATTAAATTCCTGATCAAACATGGGTATAGATCCGTCTTACAGAATAAAATGTAAGGAACAGCAAGTGAGCTCACCCAGTCGAATTCTGTAGTCACATATTACAGCATCACACCAATTAACAGACGTCCCATAATCTTTACGAGCAATGTCCTTAAAGAATAAAATAAATATAAAACCAAATGTTCTCAAAAACAGAAACAAATACAGCCAAATATCAGAATTGGGAGGAGCCAGGGATACTGCTTAGTAGTACTGTTCCACACCAAAACAGATGTGGGTCTAAATCTGGTGGCAGTGATAGAAGAATCGCGTTATAGAAGGTGCACACTGTTGGACTCTAGTTGTAATATTGGAGATGGTTAAAAGGCAAAGTCCATGTTTTCAATTTAAAAAAAATAAATTATTTTTTGACTGAATATCTTTCTGTCTGCAACTAAGCAGTGTTTGCAGTCTTGGATCCAAGAGGCTAGTGGTGTATGCTGCAAGATCAAGTAGAAATCTCCAAAATGCAGCAGTTTAAAACACCCAAACAACCCATGTTATAGCCCAACTCTAGACTATTATGTTTAAATGTATCCCCTACCACATTGCGGAGCAGAGGACAGTGAAGGAGAGTGGCAGCTGCTGGGGAGCGAGGAATAACGTAACTAACTGTACTTACTACTTACCTCCCTCCATCCGGAGTTAAATTATCATGTGGCTGGCACTCTCCTCTACTGTCCTCTGCTCCGGAATGTGGGCAGGCCTTTGCGGTTATCCCGTACAATGCAGGACTGCTCATCTTGAACTGTACCTGATTACATCAGAAAGCTACAATCAGCCAAGAAGCAAACTGAATCGGGGGATCATTCACATGGAGAGGAGGAAGTCGGCAGGAATGAGAGTAAGGGGTGTGTATGCGTGTGTGTGTGGCGTGGGTAAATTGAACAACAGCCCAGGTTTGGCCATTAAGTCTACATTTTCAAAGCCATTCCTAAATGTTGTCAATGTAAATTCGTGCTTTTTGTCTATTTAAAAGTGTAAATGACCCTTAGATGTGATTGTATGCAACATTAATTTAAAAAGGAGAACTATGAGGCGAGTGAAAATCACTCAGCCTCATAGTTCTAGCCGACCTGTGACAATTAAACGGTCACAGGTCAGCTCAATAGATCGGGAAGTGAGCGAACACATACTGTCGCTTCCTCACTTCTCGATCTTGTCCCCGCAGAGAGCCATGACTGTCACTCAAGCCTCCCTGCAGGGATTCCCCCCATCCCCTGTCCTAACCTCCAGGGCTGACTGGCGGAACGGACAGGGGAGGGTACAGCTGGCTCTGCCTCTAGATAGGCAGAGCCAGCTGTCACTCACACAGCTGGGTGGATCCAGACAGTAATGTTGGCTGTGGCGTCTTAGTATACCACGAGCTGTAGCTCGCGGTATACGGAGCTTTGGGTGACGAGAGGACGCTAGTTTGTGTCCTCCCGTTACCCTTAGGAGAACTATGGGGAAAAGCCCTGACCCCATAGTTCTCCTTTAAGTATAAATGTTAATCTACTGCCAGCAGAAATATGCCATTCTTTGATGCACTAGCCTTTCGCCAACTTACCAAAAGTTCCTGCTTCTCTGGACAGTCATAATGCTTTAATGTGCGAAGTGATACTTTGTAACTAGAAGGGAAAAAAAAGAAGAAGAAGAGGTTATTCAATTTACACCCATTGCTATTTATACAATCCCAGTTCCTCCATGTACAATTATGTGGGAGCCTAAACTTCACTCCAATTAGTGGTGCTCATCCAGCGTTTTTACCCACATCCAAGCGTCCTTTTCTAAGACCCTTTTATATCCAATAAATTGCTTTGAATGTTTTTGGATATTTGCGTATTCGTATTCTTTATGGCTTTACTTTTATGTGATTATTTTCCTATTGTAGGAGCCCCGTGCTGTTATTCAATTTTTCCATCTTAATAGTATTTCCTTTCTTTCACTCCTAATATTTGCTCCTTTCTACAGCGCTCCCCACCAATAGATAAAGTGCTCAGTGTCTTCCCCAAACATTTTTCGCCACTTACACATGTGGCTTCATCAGGGGGATATTAACTAAAGTGCTCCTCTGCTGTGCATAAAGTAAAGTGCCATTTGGGGAGCCCTGCAGAAAAGGAGTGAATATTAGGAGTAAAAAAGAAAATGTGAATCTACAAAAGAAAAAAAGACAGACATACTATTAAAATAGAAAAATGGAACAACACAGGGCTCCTACTATAGGAAAATAATCACATAAAAGTAAAAGGCATAAAGAAAACTAATACACAAATATCAAAAACTAGGGATGCACTGAAATTGAATTTTTAGATCCAAACCAAAAATAAAAAAATTTGACAGGCCGAAACCGACTTTTTCCACCAACCTTAAAAAAAATACGCTGTATGGTTGTGAAGTGTATTAGTAACCAAAAATAAAAAAGGAAGAGAAACTATAAAACAAAAAGGAATTTGCGTGTTTTGGGCATCAGCTGTTTTTCAGAAATTTAAGAATCTCATAAACCCATATTTTATTCCCAATAATTTGCTAGCTTTTTGTTGCCCTGTCCCAACTTTTTGAGAGACTTGCTGCTGCTAATAATTTCAAAAATACCTTAGCCTAAGCAAAGTCACTTGTCAAGGGCTGCTTTTGAAAGATTTTTTGAAAGAGTTTACTGCTGCTGAATATTGTGATATCAGGAATTTCTTCAGGCAGACATGAAAATTTACTGAGAGGTCCACTTTTCACCAGTAAAAACAATAGCCAGCTTTGTCTTGCATTACAGCTTTCACAAGGCATCTATCTTTACCTCTTTATTTGAGAGTTAGGATCAGAGAGGCACTCCTCCACAAATATTATTGTAGCCTGCTTTTCTTTGTTTCGTACAAATTTGACCTGTCATAGATAAAATAATTGTAATTTGTCTGTAACAGAATTTGACATTGTCAAATCTAAAAACATAATTGGGACACATTACACTGAAAAGCCTTACCAATGATGGCCAGTAGGGGTATCGCTTAAATTTACACCAGACAAATGCCCCACGCTCAAAGGAGACTGGTTCTGGAATAAAATGTCAAGACATCTGGAACTTTTTTTTATTTTTACAATATAAATAGTGCAAAAAATAACCAAAACATTGTAAAAGAAAGCAAAAAAAGAAAACAGAGGATACCTTGTATACAGACTGCAAGGTTACCCTTCAAAATGGACTGATTCATTGGCTGGGTTTATTTGTATAAAATGCCAATTTGGTAGATGCTTATTTTTTGCAGTATGTATTCTATGTATGGATCTTAAATAGGCTTTATAATAAGTACCAGAGAAAAATTCCCAACAGCAGCTGGTTTATTTTTAACTTATTCTAAAGGAAATTACAGCTGCAGCCTAACAGTTTTCTATAGGTAATGAGCACCATTTCACTTTCTCTAGTTTTATAAATGAATTTCAGCAATAGCTCATGGTACCTTTTGTGAGCTCAATGACAGGAAGTTGAATATCTTCTTCTGTATCATCATTTGGCCACGCTTCTCGCACAGTACTGGATTCTGGAGAACTAAATTCCATAGACAAATCTGAAGATAATGCATCTAAAAAAAACAAAAAACACACACACTTTAAAATCAGCAGAACATTTGCATTTCCAAACAAAGACAACTAATATACATAATTTTGATGGTAAAAAAAAAATGAGGGAGATAATGAGGAATCTTCACTCTTTTTTGGTGTCTATGACAAAGTGATAATTAGACTTACAGTTTCCCATAAAACAGCAATATCCTACATATGAGCATGTTCTCATCAATCCTCTACAAAGCCAGGTGTCAGGTCAACGAACAAAAGTAATCGAGTAAGAAAAAGGGAAGGGGAGGCCAGGCCACAGACTTTACACCCATGACTTGCAAACAATAGAAATTGCAATTAATTGTGCACAATGGTACGTTTGTTTAGCTGGTATTTGGCCACACTGACACGATTAGAATATAGGACTATCTTATCAGATCATGTGATATAACGTATGTGCCCAACTATCAACAATTTTCTCTTGTATACTATGGATCATTTGATTTAACCTATTCAAGTTAGCAGGGGAGAATAATAGGAGCAACAATTCTCCCCTGCTTCTTCCAATCTGTCCCACTTCCCCGAATTGAACTTGAAGTTCCACAAAGTATTGCTGATATGAAGCAATGACAGACATTAGATTGAATGTGGGAAATATTATGAGCATGCTCTGCAAGAAAGTGCCCTAAAATCACGTGTCCCTTTAAAAAGAAGTATCGGTAATTGGTATCGGCAAGTACGTGAGGGACAGTACGTGTACTTGGTCTTGAAAAAGTGGTAACCGGAAAGCCCTACCCATGTCACCAGTGAGATCAGCATTTGGATGATGACTGTCAGCAATTACACACCCCTCCTGGACAGGTCAGAATATTGATAGGTGGCATAAAGATGATCGATTCAAGAAGCTTTATATAGACTATTACAGTTAGTCATGAGCGATTCGTTTTGTTCCACAATGGAAAAATTTGTATGAATTTTTGTAAATTTTTACATTTGGATGCATCCGAATTTCCGAAATGACAGAAATAACTAATCCGAACATATCCGAAAGTTTGATAACAAAATTTGGACACATCCGAATTTCATTTGGAACGAAACACAGAAGCGGGAGATTTGTCATTTACAGCTCTCAGGCTTCTCTCTTTGTTGACATTCTGGACCTGCATTCTGAATGAAAAAGTAACAGAATATTGTTACGAAATGCAAAAAAAAGGAAAGAAGCTGTGAGCTATGTGATATTCTGTAACAGCTTCTGCTTCTTTGCTGACAAAGAATCTGACAGCTGTCACAGAATACACTAAAGTGTTAAACAGTCCACAGAAATTATATAGAAAAAAAACAAACCCGAAATAAAAAAAAAAACCACCAAAAAAAAAAGCGCGTGGTTCCGCTGGCAATTTATACCAAATCCTTTAGGTCTGGTGGGAATTTTAAGGTGGACACCAACCCCAAAAAAAGGAAAATAGAAAACAAAAATGTGGGGATGAGCAGACCTGCTGATTTACAAAAGGCAGTGGGCAGACCAATAGACAGCCTGCTATTGGCTATTGCAATTTAAAATAGCCAATAGCAGAATGGCTATTGCTCCTGCAGAGAAGCAGACCCGAGAAAGTTCTCCTCTGTGATTGACATCAGGCAGTGGACGGGTGCATTAGCCAGCCTGTTATTGGCTATTTCAATTTAAAAAAGCCAATAGCAGGCTTTGTTTATTTTTGTCCACTGCCTGATGTAAACATTGTATCTGGCAGGCAGCAGCAGGTGTTTTTTTTGTAATGAAAAGGTAATTGTCAAACACACTTTTTTTTTTAAACACCTGGGGGTCTGCCCTAAGATTCCTACCAGACCTGTCTGGTAGGAAACAGGTCTGTTTTTTTATTGTTTCTGTGGACTGCCAAAACAAAGTAAACATTTAGGCCTGGTTCACACCTGGGCGTTTTACAGCACGTTCCTACGCGCTGTAAAACGCTCAACATGTGAAAACCAATAATTGTCTATGGACATGGTTCCCACCTGGGCGTTTTACAGCACGTAGGAACGCGCTGTAAAACGCCCTACGCCCAAAGAAGTACAGGAGCTTCTTTGGGGCGTATTTGCCGCGCGTATCCATTAGGATACAGCCGGATATCCCTCGGAAACGTGCGTTTCTTTTACCGCAAATCGCGGTAAAAACGCGCGACACACGCGCATATTCCGTATGCCCAGATGTGAACCCAGCCTAAATGTCACATTTCTGCAACAAACTTTCGTTCGTAATGATCATTTAACTAATCCAAAATTAACGAACATTCGGATTCATCCGAATGCCAAAAACGAATTGATTTGCTCAAAGGTGCTTGCAATGAACAAGAGTTTGTTCCAGCTCCTGAAGTAAAGTCCATGCAGTAAAAGAAAGCCTGCTGCACTCTAATATCCAGCATGAAGAAAAGTGTATTGTTCTGCATCAATACAAGACACAGCACCACCTAGGACCTCCCTCTGATGCATGTCACCCAAATATGGGCTTAATCATAGCGAAATGCAATAGAGCAGGATTCGAGTGGGGCTGTTAAATTGGTCCAGAACAATAATGTTTTTTTAATGCTGCATATCAGACCCGAGTGCAGGTCGCTTTCTTTTATTGCATTTACAGATATAAGCCCCAAATGGGACAAAGGTCCTCCAGACATATTCATTCTAACTAAAATATTTTCAAAATTAAATCTTTTTTTTTTTTTTAAAGAGCCCTAATTATATATAACCTTGATTAATTATATATAAAACATAAAGCAACACCTCCATTTTTTCTATGCAGTCCCATGACCATTTAGAGAACATAAAGACAAGGCAGATAGATTATTTACATTAGTGTTTTGCAACTGTAATTTGATAGTCAAATCTAATGGCAAAACATTGTTTATTAGAGTTCTGCCTTGAGCTGACCACAAAATGTTCAAATACAACTATACAATCATCTTTAAATCTTAACCACCTCCCGGCCAGCCGTTGTGTATACACGGCCGGCCGGGAGCTTCTTGGATGTAACTGGGCGTGTATACACGTCCTGTCACATCTGCCGCGCTAGAGGACCGGTCACATATTTTGCTATCAAATAGAGGGGTTTCTCAGCCCCCTCTGTGATAGCATTAAAGTGAAAAAAAAAAAAAAATATAGGAAAAAAAATGTAAAGTTTCCCCCCAAAATTTTTTCAAGTTACACATAAATAAGAATTACAAAAAACTAAATTTTTTTCAAAGTCCACTCCCCTACATACACGCATACCTGCGAAAACGACGATTGCACCCATTACGCCGCACATGTCACGTCGGAATGAGAGCAATAATTTTAGGGCCATCAATCACTGATAACACTAAACTGATGAGCTGTAAAAGCTTTTAAAGCGTCGCCTATGGCCAATTTTGAGTATGCTAGTTTTTTTGCGGTTGCGCGAGTGCGCGCAATTTTTAAGCTTGACATGTTTTGTGTCTATTTACCCGACGTGACCCCGACTTTTATATTTTACCAAAAAAGTGGGTAATATTAGTTGTTTTATAACAATATTTTAAAAAGAACTTTTTTTTTTCAAAATTTTCAGTAATTTCTCCTGAATATAGTAAAAAATAAACCCCCCAGTGGTGATTAAATACCACCATAAGAAAGCTCTATCTGTCCCCCAAAAATGGTATAAAATTCATTTCAGTACAGCGTTACATGATGGAATAAACGTCAGTCAAAGTACTGCAGCGCTGAACACTGAAAAATGGCCTGGCCAGGAAGGGGGTCTAAACACCTGGTCTTCAAGCGGTTAAATATGAAGGCTTCAGTTTTTTTTTTAATCTTAACAACTAGGCTTACCTTTTTATAAATACTTGTTTTTCTTTAATAATGTTCAGTTCTGCATTTTCTAGTGGGTCCTTGCATTGCTTTACCTCCTGCCGGGGTGTCTCCATCATCTAAGTGGCTGCTGTGAAGGTACCCGTTCACAGCCGTGCCCACAGTAGCTGTGTGCGTACATACATATACATACACACACCTGTGGCAGGCCATCCCCCTCCTTTCCTCCCAACAGGTTGATTGACGGCAGAAGGAGCCTATGGCTCCTCTGCCCTCAGTATCCTGCCCCCGAAAGCCAGGAAGTTCGGGGAATGGAGGATTGCTTTGGGGGACCAGAGGCAGTGAGGGGAAGTGTGTGTGTGGGGGGGGGAGGGCACAAGAAGGTACTGGTCGTTTTCTACCTTAATGCAGAGAATGTATTATTTATGTAATGTATTGAAAGTGATACATACATGAATGTAATGTATTGATACATAATATGTATGTAATGTATTGAAAGTGAACAGCCAGCCTTGAATGGGTTAATAAACCCTCAGTGTTTTTTGCATATATCTACTGCTAGCAAGCAGTAGATATATGCAAAAAAAAAAAAAAAAAAAGGCTTTTCAAAAAAGCTTTAAACTTACCCGTGTCTTCGCCACGTGCTCCTGCCTGAACATCTGAAGATTCTCGGGCGGCCGCAAAGGATGTTGGGGGCGTGTGCAGTTCAGATCTCCGGCCGGGAGACGAGGAGAGACACAAGGTAAGTCTATGGAGCAGCGTGCGCCCGCACAGACTCCGTGGGACAGGAAGTGCCAGCTAGCACAGAGGAGTCAGTGATGGAGCGGAGACCCGCACCAGCGCTGGAGGGACTGCTGAAAACTACAGGAAAGAAGATGATCGGATTAAGAGGCATCATTTAAGGTTAGTCCCTACACTAACATTGGGGGTGGGGGAATATCCTTTAATGTCACGTTAATACTATTTTAATCTTCGCTTAAAATGTGGGGTTGTTTTTGACACTGAAAAAAGAGCAAAGTTTAATATATACCTTTATAGCAAGATTCTAATGTTCTAGAGTAATCAGTCCAGGTTATGTTAATGATGCCACATTCAATTTGCACACCATTACCTGTCTCAGTGAAGGTGAAGTCTGGCAAAGGGAGCTGGTTGTATTTGCCCTTCCTGTGGGAATCTTTTTCTTCTGCATCAGCGATGACTTTCTGTACAGTGGTGGCCACCTGTACTTTGTTCTTTTTTGTAGACTGTTGCATAAGGCGTTTGGGATGCCGATATCCGTTCCTTGTATTATCTTCATCTGTACTAGGTGATATGACATTCTGTATCTCCTTTGGTGATGAGAGAGGGCTCTTAGATCTGCCCCTTCTAATTCTTCCTTTTACAGATTTTTGCTCCCCTGTATTACCGCTGTTCTCACCTGGAAAACTACCTTGTTCGGTGCTTGTGTCTTCTGCCCTTTTTCTTTTTTTTCTATGACCTACGTCTTTGGTCAGGGCACGTTTTTCAGCTTTGGGCTCATCTGATGTCTTGACACACATGGATTGTTTATGTGTTCTTAAGCTTTTCCTCCTTTTTAGTGTTGTTCCAATGGTGGAGCCTGATGAGTGTTTCTGTAGAAGCTTTGTTGTTGAAGGTGTACATTCATTTTCCTGCTCAAGTTTTACTGCTTCTCCAGATGTTCCAAAAGTAGCTGCATTTCTGTCATCTTGCGAGAGCTCGGTTTCTGTCGCAGACACCTCTTTTAGGAGGTTCATTGCTGTGCTAAGTGCACTTCGATACCTTACTTCCTCAACAGAAACTTTGAGATTTTTAGATCTGTCTGCAGGAAAACAAAAAACTTGTCCTTAGAAACACATAGCATAGGTAAGTATTATATTAGCAGATTTATCCTAAAAAATTTGGGTTGCATTTGATATATATGCTAAAAAATAAATCAGGTGCTTAAATAATGTAACAATAAAATAATAGCAACTCAAGTTTGCATGTTTGTCCGTTTGCTCCTCACACATTAAGGGCAAATGTCGTCACAGCATCTGACACATTTTGATGTACCTGAGGATTGATGAAGTGGTATATTTGATTTTATTGGTGGATTCTTTTAGTTAATCCCCCTTCCCAAGCATCTTTGAAGCAACAATTTCAAAGCTCTGCAAGGGAGGCAGGCCACAGCTACATCAGCTGCTCATATTAGGTTTGGATTTAAAGTGATGCTAAAATGAACAAATGTAATTTTAGTGCCACTTTAAAATGGAGCCTGGGAGGTCTGCAAGTAATTTAAATTATCAACAAAGATTTTAACACATAAATAAACCAAGGTGTTTAATTTCTAAACAGGCGCATTGTTTGTATTTAAAGTTTATGTAAGGCCATAACTTTTTTGGTTCAGTTTTAGGATAGACAAGGGTTAAAACATCTATCTAGTTTTTTGTTTTTTTTGCTGTCCGTCTTGCTGAGGTGATTTCCCATTCTTTCCGTAACTGTAAGCACAACAGGAAATTAGAGGAAATCTCTCCTAAGTCAACAGAATTACCGTCTTACAGAGTTGTCATAGGAATAGGTGTTCCCATTTGAGGATCTTCCCATTAGCTCTTGCTCTGGTATCAACTCTGAAATTTTGGATTTCCTCTCTGTGGCGTTAATGACGTCTAATGACCCCAAAGTGAGTGGGGAGAAGAGGGAAATGGTGCTGCACATAGTACCATCCTCCAAAATTAGCAAGTCTGCAATAAAACATATACCTGATGTCTATGCTGCAGAAAGAGATGGCAACTTCGGTGTAAGCACAGACCAGATTGAACACCCCCACACTAAAACAACGAGCTTGAGCAGATCAAGTTAAATAAACAGTACTTAGCCAGGGTCTGCAAAGCCTCAAAAGACTTCTGATATAGCAGTTTTACATCGGGGCTTTATTAGAAGACATCTACCAGAGCCAAAGCCTGCTAATATCTATTGTAAAATAGTTGTTAAAACATTCTAGAAATAGTTTAAAGCAATACCCATCTTGGTCTGTTTTTTTTCCCTTAACTGCCAGAACCAAAATCTATTTCCATTTCATAAATCCTGATATAACAACAGTACATTCATATTAAGTATCTACCCAAATGTATAAGGGGGGGTGGGAGGGGGGAAGTAACCTGGGTACCAAGGGTCGCATTATCTAGGTGATGTGTGTCCAGGTTATGTAAGGTTTAGTTTCTATCAAATCGTGATTCTGTGATGTTGGCTGTCGGACTGTAATTGTCATCTTTAAGTATTGAGGCAATTATAAAATCTGGCCTTGAGGAAGTGTATGCTGAAATATCATAAAACTCAGACCCTTTAATTGGTTATGTCTTAGATTGTTAGACTTGCTAACGGTCATTCATAAGAGCCTGAGATGACCTTACATCATCAGATTTACCATGCATCAGTTTGGCCAAAACCAAAGGTCAGGCGAAGTATTCATAACTTTTAATCTCATTTATTTTACTTTGGGTTATTGTCTTATTTTTTGCAGTTTTTCCTTTTATTAAAAAAATTAAGCTAAATATCTAAATTGTCTATCAAAATTTAAAGAATCCCTGCCTCTTTGAAGAAAGCCACCATATCTTAAACTCGGTTACCTTCCTGTCTGGCATAGCAATGATGTCACAGACTTTCTTAAAGGTCAGAATTACTACAGCAGATGATGTGACCAGTACATGTTTTCATGTAACACGTGGTGGCAGATACAGTTTCCGTGTGCAACAGGTTAACCGCCCCAGTGATTATCATGCTCAGGCTGCTCCTGATATGTAGATTATTGTCTTGCTGACTGAAACCTTTCTGGGCAGGGTGAGGTGAGGCTGAGAGGTGTTACATCACATTCTGATGGCATCGCAATTTGAGATTGCCACCATTGCACCCCCACTTTCCATCTCCATGACAAACAGAAGGGTGAATTTATCAAATAGATATCCTAGCAATAAAAACTTGACAAAAAAGGTCTATCTTTCGCTCTCTCCTGCCAAAAAAGCAAAAACTAAAACTTTTATATGCACTTTAAAAAAAAAAAAAAAAAAAAACAAAAAAAAAGAATAAAAAGCCAA